AATGGTACGAAAGGTAGAAAGATGTCTCACGTTTTCATATCTCCTGCTGGAAATCAGAAAATGTTAATAAAAATTGCACAAAAATAACTAAAAATTTCAAAGATGCAAACTGGTCTCGTAGGGATGTCATGGCATTTTACTATTTTCACATCATGAGGAGCCAAAGAAATCTGATGCTTTTAAAAAATTAAACTACTCATGTCAAACAGAGGAGACTCAAGTTCGCGTTTGCTGATGCCAGTTTAAAATCCCCAGGTTACGTTTCAGGACCAGTTGGTGTAAAGCTGAAATAATAGTGGGTTTTTTTTTTCTTGGTTCTGGCTGCCAACTGTAAGTTAAAACTCAAGGCTTGTTGTGAAGCCTAAAAATATTCACAAATAAGCTTTTAAACTGGCGTCTTTAGAAGGAAGGTAGATACAAAAAAAGATTGTGGTAAAAACTGGGGTCAGTGCTCTTGGTGCCTTTTCTATAATTGTACTTGTTTTTTAATTCCTTCCTTTCACTGCCAACCTCAAATTACTGTACAGTATATGTCTTACTGCTTGTGATCAGCTTCGACAACAGTGACAGCCCCACAACTAGTAGCCATCTGTACATTTGTAAACTGAGCTGACTCGATTTTGTTATTTTAAATGTGTGGGTTATGTTACAGCTGTTGCAGTCCCCCAGATATGTATCGTTTTACACAATTTGACCTATAGGTGGACACTAACTTGCAAATACGCAGTTGCATTCCTGTAAGTGGGAGTAGAAGGAAAGCCAGCCAGCTCTTTCAGAGTATCCTATATTAATGCTGAACTTAGATATGTTTATTCCATTTCTTACGGTACAAACAACTGATCTTTTGACAAGAGTAATGACCTCAGTGGATTTGCTTTAACCCTCACATTTATTTTTATTTTATGTTTCACATGCTACATTATTAGCTGAGAAGTAAGGTAGAAAATTCCGGAAGGTAAAGACTTAACATAGAACTAGGAGGGTTCTCCTGGAGGATTAGAAAGTAGCAGTACAACTGTGGATCCTAGGTGAGGTAAAAACACACTTCCACTGATACGAAGCACTTCTGACCGCTTTTTCTTGGTTGTGAATCTTAATTTTGAATATAAGATGATAGATAAGCGCAGCTTTCTTGGATAATCTGAATTCCCAAGTGCCAGGAGTAGGATTTCATTATAAAATTAATAGCTAAACTTATTCTGTCTCCTGAAGATTTAATTGCTATTCTTGTTACCCATTTGAAATCAGCTGTACTGTGTGAACGAAATAAAGACACTAACTCGAACCCCTTTCTGGCTGCACGGTCGCTTATGGCAGTTCCACACAGTAGTTGGCGCCCAATGGGGGGTCCCTGAGACTTGCATGTAAAACTAGTCTAGATGTCTTCTTTTTTGTAAGTTTTATTTTTGTAATTGTGCATGTAAAGCATCATTGAATCAATGGATCTGTTGAAGAACTCAGCTGCTGGAAACCATGCAAAATGTTTTGAATTGCCCTTAAAATATGGAAAATGTTTTCTGAATGCTTTATATTCTTTCTGCTGTAAATTAAAAATGAAGAAAATTTCCCCATATTATGTGTGTGTGTTGCTTTAACTCTACCTGATACTACAATCCAAGGTGATGGGGCATATTTCAAACCATATGGAATAATTTCAAGTATTTCCTTAGACACAGATACAATGTTTCAACATTGAATGCTACATGGTTTCGGATATGTTCCCCTGAAGGGAAAAAAATGTCTTAGTCGAGCCACTGTTCTAGAACACGTGCTTTTCAACTATCTAATCAGGCACCTCTCAGTGTATCATTTGTCTCAGTGCAGTTATTTGGAAGATAAAGGCACCAGTCTAAATTCACCTTTTCAGTTAAAATCCCCTGAAGTTTGTTCAAAGGCACTTTCCCAGCTGACTCCTGTCAGCCTCCCCTGCCGAGCACGCCGTGGTTTCTTGCCCTTCCCTGCAGAGCCTCGCCTCCCCGTGGTCCCTCTTCCACGGGATCCCTCTCCAGCCACCGCCGCAGACTCTGCATGACCTCCTGCCGCCTGGGGCCTCTGCTGTCCACAGGCCACTGCATTTCAGTGACACTCTCCTTTCTTATCCTCACTCTTCATTCCATCTTGTGTTCACCCGGGCCCCAGCTGCACCCTCTGGTCGGCTTGTGCCCACCGGGTCCCTTTCCACTGCTGTCTTTGTCCTGAGGTTGGCTCGTCCCTTGCCTGGGGAGCTCTCCTTTTGGGTACTTCCCTGCGCAAACCCCACCTCCTCTGTGACACTCTCGTTTATCCTAAGATACACTGACGTTTCACTGTTCAAATTATTCCATTTCCAGGTTAGGGTTTATTTTACGTTTTTCATCTAATCTGCCAGTGGGCCTGTTTTGTATTAGTGTTTTGTTTTTTAACGTAGTTGTCGTCTGTGTCGGCAGGAACACTTCACCGCTGACGGCATCGCCAAGGAACCCCGCATTCGGATAGGGGCCTCCGCGCCCACACGGTCAAAAGTTGAGGACCTACTCTGTGCTAGGGGCGCGGGAATACCCCAGAAACCACAGTCCCTGGTGTCAAGGCTCGTGTACACATTATAACATGGTCTGTGCAGTGACAAGTGTCTGTGTCATGGATGCAAAGAGAGCGACCCTAAACCAATCAATCTGTGATAAGTGCCCCAAATGGACTTCATGTCGCATGTTAACAGGTCTCTTGGGAAAATGTGGGGTCTGCGGGACCACTAGGTCAACGTGGGGGAGTTGAGAAGAAACACACAGGACGTCTCCAATACTGTCACCGCCCCTGGTTTAGGGGCACAGGCCCTTCCCAGGGTCTGATGCACCACGACCCCCAGCGTCAGCCCGGCCGGGAGCGGGGAGACCGGCGGACACGCCCCGACCCGCGCTCAGCGCTGCAGCCGC